AAGTCTTGGAAAAGATCATGAATAGCCGTCTTACGAAATACCTAGAGGCGAATAAGCTATTGTCCCCTTCTCAGTACGGTTTCCGTTCTGGAATATCCACTGGAGATGCAGTTCATGCCCTTACAAACTATGTTTTTAAAGCATTAGAAAATAACATGAAATGTATTGCTGTCTTTTTAGATTTGGCCAAGGCTTTTGACACGGTCTCCATCCCAATCTTATTAAAGAAAATGGAACATATTGGTGTTAGGGGGTTACAGCACAAATTGTTTAGAAACTACTTGAGTTGTAGAATCCAAAGCACAAAAATTGGGGAAAATGTAAGCGAAGACCTACTTGTTCAATACGGCGTTCCGCAGGGTAGTATCTTAGGTCCTTCCCTTTTCCTCATATATATTAATGAGCTCTGCAACCTACAACTGACTAACGGATTAATAATTACTTTCGCGGATGATACAGTCCTAGTATTTCAGGCACCGACATGGGATGAGGTTTTTGCTTACGCGCAGACTGGCTTTGACACTGTCACGAAATGGCTTAATGAAAACATTCTAACGTTAAATGCGGACAAAACAAAATATGTTTCCTTCTCAAAACGAGGTTCCCCAGTTGACCACCCATGGACTATAGTAGCCCATTACTGCTCTAATTCTGAAATCGCAAACTCCCAGTGTACATGTCCAAAACTGCAGAATGTGAGCACTGTAAAATATCTTGGCGTTCTAATAGACCAGAATCTGAATTTTAACAGTCACATCGAATTGCTTACTGCACGAATGCGCAAACTAATGTATGTCTTCAAGAGCATACGAGGGGTCGCTGACACTACTACTATTAGAATGGTGTATACAGCACTTTGCCAATCATTACTGATCTACTGTGTCACAGTTTGGGGTGGCACCTATAAATCCTCACTCCTGAAGCTAGAGAGGGCACAAAGAGCCGTGCTAAAAACGTCATTATCTCTTCCATTTCGTTTTTCTACTGTGGAACTCTATCAAAGGTGCTCCTTGCACTCAGTTCGACAATTATTTATTTTGTACACAGTTCTTAAGCAACATTCTTTACTACCTTTTGACCCCTCTGTACTATCAAAACGACGGAAACATAACGTATGTCCGACCTCATCGTGTTCCCATTTCTCCCACAGATCTTTTTTCTTTTTAGGCGGATTTTTATATAATAAATTAAATAAATCTCTAGATATTTATTCGGAAACTAAAACGTGTGTTAAATTGATGGTATCAAAATTTTTACTAACCCTGGACTACGAACAAACGGAAAACTTGCTAAAAATAGAAAAATAGTAATACACATCTATACATACCTCATATTTTAACACACACTTATGTGCGCGCAAACACACACAATACACACACGCACGCTCTCATAAACATACAGATACAACCACACACACATTTAAAAATAAATACTAGCACATTTTAAATTCAGTTACCCGTTTTGTCTCTTTTCTGTTTTTTTTTTTTCTCTTTGTAATATTATCTTAAATTTTAAGTGTCAACTTTGTACAGTTTATACATGTTTTTTTCGCGGATGGAAGCCCGGTTATCCATAACACAAGTATTTTACTTAGTTTGGAAACCGGTCTCCCACTATTGTGTTATGATAACATTGTACATCTGTTTATATTGTAATGAGGGAGAATTAAACATTTATTATTATTTATTATTATAGAGAAGGCAAATGCTGTGACCATGTCTTAGTAAAATCTAATCTTCTTTCTACCACTCTTATTATAGAAACCCATATAACAGACCACTTGCTAATAGTACTCTGCCTTCAGCTTGAAAAAAGATAACCTATTTGTAAAAGACACATTTTATATTGCGTTAGACTTGTTTAGATTATTATGTATTTTTAATATATCTACTTACCTTTTAATATGTGCGTGTTTCCATACAAAATATGCCGCACTAGCGGGACGGAGCGGCGCGGGGGGACGAGAAGACCTCTTCTCGTGTGATGTTGAGCTGAGCGGCGCGGGGACCGTGATTCTTTTGCGGGCTTTAGAGTTAGTGTCAAAACAACATTAAAGCACTTGCGTTTAATCGGAAAGATAAAAATGCTACCTGCGATGAAAAGTGGACGACAACCGTAAGCGTTCATCTCAGTGGGTGGGCACGAGAATAGCACCTAATCAGATCAATGCCGGACTTGTACATCACAGCTTTTTACCGAATAGCACAACAATGACGGCAGATATCTATTGCCAAAGATTGCAAACAATGACGGAGAAACGTGCAATTCAACAACCATGACTAGTCAATCGCTCTTCCCATTGCTTCTCCACGACAACGCGCCAACTCACACTTCATGACAGACTATTTCAAAGCTACATGAGCTACAGCTGGAAGCTGTCCATCACCCACCGTACTCACCGGACAGATTTCAAGTATTTTTTTCAGAATTTAGACAATTTTTTTTGTGGAAACAAATTCAAAACCCGAGAGGCAGTACAAAACGCTTTCGCTGACTTCATTGCCTCCCGTCCAGCAGACTTCTACAGTAAAAGGATAAACAACCTTAAATCAAAATGGCAAAATTGTATAGATAATTTGGGTCAGTAAGTAAGTAGGTACTTTGATTAGCTTAAATAAAAACATAGCCAAAAAAATTATATTTTAAAATATTCATAAAAATCTCTAACTTCATGGACCAATAAAACCCTAAATTAATTATATGCTTTTGTTTAACTTAGAATTGGCCTGAAATCTCTCTGAATGCTAGCGACTTTCACTTTTTTTTCTTTGACACCGCCTTACTTATTCCATTAATGATTAGACATCACATCTACATGACGCCTATTGTACGAGTATGCGTAATTGCGTCACGCAAGGTGAAAAGGAAGTTTCCTGTTCCTGTTTCCTGGGTAGATTCATGTTAAAACTCAAAGTTTGAATTGAATCAAATTAATACTTAATTCGGTATAGATGCAAGAACTATAACAATCCTCATAAATAAAACATTAAATATAAAAACAATAAAATATTAAAGTACTATGTTCTCTATATATACCGTTCTTTTGTACAAAACGTATTTTGATTTTTTCAAAAAGTCATTCACAACAGTCTAAAGTACGTAAGCAAGTCTATGCTTGTTTGTCTGTTACCTGAGAAGGGTTTGTTTCAAGTTTATTTCTCTTTGCAATGCTGTTGTCATGCGTAGTTTGTTTACTAGCTACTACGAGTATATCTATATTATGGCAGTGACCATATTAAACTTGCGGGAGAGTGTAAACATTAAGGTGTTGTATAGACTGAAAGTACTCCACGTCGGCACTTGGAACGGATAGGGTTTCTGCTGAAACAGGAGCAGTCCGACTTGATATCGCCTTAAAAACACTAGACTTCAAGAAATAGGCTTCAATAAATTTCTCCACGAATTTGAGTTCCACCTTACAGAACAAATAAATCAAGCAACCATACCTAAAAACTTCTTGAAGTTTAATAACATGAACAAAATACATCGTCCTTACTTTCGGACAAAAATAATGATACTGGACAGCAGACAATTCTTGTACATAATATGTAGTAAACACAAACGAATTTCCTACGAAGTGGATTTAGTCCGCTATCTTAACACCTTTTTAATAAAAACTTGGAAATTTTGGGTTGATAGGTATATGTAGTGCCCAGTACCTGGACTACTCGTGTACCTAAGTGTTGTTGTAACCTACTTGGCTAAATGTTGTAGTTTTATTGGTACTTTGCTATTCACTAATTTCTATTTAACATTTAAACGTAATTACCTAATTATTACCACGGAGAATGGTGCATTTTGCATATCCCTATAGATCCACTAAATAGTGGATGGCATCAATATGAATGGGTGGAATGTCGAATTTGCGGTAAAACCATTCAATAAATGGCCTTATAACTTAAGGACAGGCTTAAGTTATATAGCCACTTATTGGATGGTTTTCATATATGTATGTAATATGTGTATCAGCATCATTCAAGCAAATAATATACATTGCGCAGTGTCATAAGGTTATTGTACTTGTCTATTCATTATAAGGCTATGCCTTAGTAACCAAAATGATATTATGTACATGCTCAATTTTGTTGTTAAATGCTAAACTCCCTAAAAATAAGAGCACAATGTGTCAATACAGTTTAATTAACTATAAATCGCCTGACACTAATTCTCATTTACAGGGTTTTCTTAAATATATGAAATAAAATCACATTTTTTAAAGTAAAATCGTATATAACACATTGTAAACTAGAATTTAAGGATGTCGGTGTAAAGTGTCGGTAAAACAAGAATGTCGTCAAAAACAGGGGCCATCTGTAAAATAGCAGGTACGTTTTCTGATGCTCAATTTAAGCCGCACGGTTATTGGTCGTAGCTGTACGTATGTGATGTCGCTATTGGCTATTATCGTGAAATGCGACAGTGAAAACCCATAATGTCGGCGAACGCTAGGTGGCATCTAAAGCGTGTCGGCGAAAGGTTTTTTATAGTCATTAAACATTCGATTGTTGATGTGATTTGTTCCGTTTTGCGTTGTGTTCTCTGATGTTTCAATAATTTTATAAAAAAATATTGTTTTGGTAAGTGACATTGTCTTAGTGATATAAAATAGAGAGACATGAGATAAATTAAGTTTAATATTATTAACAGTTTACAGTCTTAGACGTCGACATCTAATTTTACTGCTTTGATAGTAATGTAATTCAATGATCACTGATTTGTGTCATGAGATTTAAAATACTTCAAAAATGTACATTTTTCGTTCATTTTGCTGTCTCACGTTATTTAGTTCGTGTTATCAGTTTGTCTACAATATGTAAATAACTACGTGTTTAATAAAGTGATCCTGGATAATCGAACATTCATTAGTGTACAGTTGGCGGGAATGCCGGTTCGTAACCAATTAGGTTATTTAATGATTAGAAGTCAAACACGGTGCATGAGTTTTGTTTGGTTTTAGTTAAGGTGTAAATTATATCATCGTAGATAGCATACATTCAGTCATGACTTCTGTGGAGGAAGGCGAGACGCCGTCTGATGACGTGCCGGCGGGAAACCCGGACGAACTAGCCAAGAATCCTATCGCTTTGAAAGGTATTTACTATTCAAAAATCCAAGACTTCATTCGATTTCATAGTTGTTTTACCACCTATAGATGAGGCCCCTAACAGTGATTTAAGCACTAAATAGCTATGAACATTACGGGATAATGGTTTTGTATTATCATTCTCATTTCTTCAAAGGATTTGTTTGTATGTAGCCTTTTCCCTGTTATTTTTTACTTTATATTCATGGTGGAATTCCTTATTATTGCAGTTAATAACTAAACATTTGGAATTAGTAGAATGCACTGATATACATTGAAAATTTGTCATTAATGATATTAGAATAACATTTAGTTCAACTCGGGTGGACAAGCTTAGGAATGAGTATATATGAGAGAGCCTGAAAGTAGTGCCACTGGATGCAAAGTTAAGAAGTAATAGGATATCTTGGTATGGACATGTCATGCAGAGGGATGAGGAAAATGTGGCCAGAAAAGAGTTAGGTACGGGAGTTAAAGGGTACAAGAGAAGAGGAAGGCCAAACAATAAGTAAACAGTGAGATGATGAATCTTCATCAACATCATCAACAGCCTATAATAGTCCACTGCTGGACATAGGCCTCTCCTTAGAAAGGACCATGCTGGCCAGACGGGTCGGTATAGGGTTTGTTTCAAGTTTTCCTTCTTTTTGCAGTGCTGTTGTCCTGTGCAGTTTGTTCCCTTATTTGGCTCTTACGACACCCACGGAATGAATAGGGGTGGTGACATTCCATATTCTTAATCCGTCACCACACACCAAACGAGATGATGAATGATAGAGTAGAATGGAAGACTAATACTTACTGCATCAAACCCAAATAAAATTGGGATAAGGGTAGGCAGATGATGATTTAGTTACCAACAATACACACAATTAATTTAAATTATTTTTTCATAGAGGCACATGAACAAATGGCTACTATGGATGTTTTAGTATGTGGCCAGTGTCATTCAGCATTCCACTTTGTTGAAGAATTTAAAGAACACAAAGATGCTAGTAACTGTACAGGCAAATCACCTGTAAGAGACAGTGTAAGTATAGTTTTTTTAAATTAGTAAGTAGATTAAAAAACTAAAAAAGGCTATTCAAAAAATTATAGTCATTGTACTTGTCATCTACTGCAATGTGATTATCATAAAATTTTATCTTAAATCTAATTCTGTAAAAAGTGACTGATGATTTTCTGTATTATTTGTACCATGTACTCTATAACAGTTAAACATAATTTACTTAAGTATAGTGTTAACTATTGCCACTATTTCATTGTTGCAATTTCTAGTCATTTTCAATTCATGAGGTATTTTCATATGTATGAAAGAGTTATTATTAGTATGAAGTATTTATGTGAGACAAGTAACTTGTTTAGTTTTTTATGCTATTACATATTGGTATGTAAATATATGTGTAGTATTAATAGTGACAACAGTTTAATTTTTTGATTATGCAGCATTTTATATTTTCAGAATGAAAGTAAAGCCCAAGTGTGGGCTTTTCTATTATGGAAGTGTTCATCTGTACGAGATGGTTCTACAGTCAATACAGACAATAGCTGGAAGTTGTACCAGCAATGGTGTCGCATGGCAGAGTCACAGCGCACAGCCTGGATTACAGCCGGGTCCAATGTTCAGGCACTTTCTAAATTTGCTCATGCCAAAGTTGTAAGTTAAAGTTTCATCAAATTAGGAAATAGTAAATATAACATGAAAGGTCTTCTTAATATTTGTAATAGCATAGTAAATTAACAGTATTTTGTACTCAATGATTTGCAATTTTTTAAATTTAGTATTAAGGATCAACTAACATTAATAAGAAAACTTTGATAAACACTACAATCCAATGGAACACTACAATACAAAGGAAACAGAACACTGTTACATTTTAAGCTTATTGTGTAACTTTATTAATGGATTAATATACCGATAAATTTGCTGTCCTATTGAATTAAAACAATTCTGATTAAACATTCAACAAAATATTTACTTTTTTTAAGTTTTGCCATTTAACAAAATGTATATTCATGTACAGATGGAGTTAAAGACTGAAGACCAACTAGTTCCTGTTCAGACTCCAGCACAAACAGAGATCAAAAAGCGGGGCAGGCCCAGAAAGTTACCCAAACCTGTATGTATAGATACTAATTACATTATATTAAAGCCATCTGTTCATACTATTGCTCTGTAACACTCAGTCTAACTCAATCTTCCAGGAGGACTCTGAAACACAGCCCTCAGGCGAGGAAAGTGATGACATTGTTAAAGCTAGCCCTGGAATTAAGGGTGTCCTCAATAAAATGCCTATAACACAAAATAACAAACCTAATAAGGTACAAACATTTCTTTTTTTAATTAATTTGCATTTCTGTTTAATGCATTTTAATGATATTAGGTTTGTTTCTCCTCTTTTTGCCATAGAAAACAAAATCTAGAATCTAATCAAATCTATTTTAGTGTGTAAAATAAAAATAACATGAAGATAATAAGAAATACAATTCTCAAATTTATTATCTGTCTAGTATGTAAAAGTATATCAACACTTAATAAGGGTTGAAATGACTGATTTGAGTTCCTCTAAGATAACTTTTTCCTGTGTTATTTCCACTTCTACTTGTAGATTGTAACTCCCAAAAGTGAACTAAGCATATAGCATAAGCATATAGGTACATCTAAACTGTTACAAAAAGAGACAAGATTGCATACCAGTCTACCATAAAACCTGGCCATAGAATCTTAGCTAGTGCTGACTATCTGATTATTTTCTAAAGGACCATGATATGCTTTTTCCCCGTCACACCTTCTCAGTTCATCCATTCACCATGCAAAATTTCCACAATTAACAGGCTATCTGCATTTTTCTTGTCTATTAACCTAGGTTGGGTATAGGTCTGAACTTGTGCCCATTGTCTTCGTACGATTCCAAAGATCATGAACCTGCCTCTCTCTGCTCAGCCTCTAAGGGTCAAATAAGCTGATAATTCAAGGCTCTATTGCTTTTGCGGAACATTAAAAAGTTGCAATATGTTGTTGCATGAATAGCTGATCACTCGCAATTGTTACATACTAGTGGACTGTGAAATAGTCCCTACATCCATAGTATTAACCCTACTGTGTTGTGTATGTAAACACCTACCACATGGTGTTTGATGTGAGTCCATTTCAAGGAACTCGAGTATACCCTAGGAAGGAGGTCCCTGAGAATCCGCCAGACCTTGACTGCCGACGGCAGCCAAGTTCATTTTTAGCCGCCTCTTTAGTGGATTGCGCTTCCTCACAAAAAGAAGTAAAAGAATCCCACACACTATGCTTGGACCATGGACAAAACTGTCCTTTTTAGTGGAGCACTCCATTAAAGTGATGGCACGCACACGTCAGCTCCTGGCCTCGTCAGCATATGCATCGGCCGTTGGGAGACGCTGTTGCATGTCAATTTAAATGTTAATCTAAGAAAAAATTAAAATAGATTTATTACAACATTTAGCTTGCATAGATTCAAACTTATTTTTTTTATTCAAAGAAGTGTTTATCGAACAGCTTTATTGAATTTATTAGTATGTCAAATGTCACTAACTACAACATAATAACTAACTCGAATAAAAATGATTTAAGAGAAAGAATAGATGTAATCAGTAATGAATGAAAGGTAGTCGATTAGTAAGTGTGTAATGTATGAGTGGTGGCAGGAGCTGAGCGAGTCGGTGCGCAACGCGCAGGAGCGCGTGCCGCCCGAGGAGCGCATCGCGCGCCGCACGGAGCGCGCGGGCGACGCGGCCGAGGCGGGCGAGTACGTCGTGGAGAAGATCCTCGCCAAGCGCTTCAACCCGCGCCGCAAGCAGTACGAGTACCTGCTCAAGTGGGAGGGCTATCCGCAGTGAGTACACTACTACCGCACGTCGGGCTCGCTCGAATAATAATAAAAATAGATAAAAACTAATTTTGAAGCGGTTTCCATATCGTGTCAAAATTTGGGCTCAGTGGTGCAGAGCTTTTTATGTTTTTGAAGCCTACACGAACAATACATATTTAAAAATTTAAATATACGTGTGAACGGTGATCGGTTATATTGTATTGTGATCGATTTGTATTAGTCTGTTTTTGTTTAAAATCGTAAAGTATGTTTCGAAGTAAAATATTTATTTTTAGAAATCATACTGTGGATATTTATTTCTTTTGATTGACGTGTAATGTCGACGCTCACAGTGAACAAAACACCTGGGAACCGGTGGAAAATATGGAAACGTGTAAACACTTGTTGGAAGCGTTTGAAAAACAACTAGCTAGACAGAAGGAATTGAAGGCTCTCAGGGCTCAACAACAACAACAGCAACACCCAGTACAGGTAAAGTTCTAAAATGTTAATTACACATAGTTTAGGTTTATTCTTGCAGGGAGAACTCATCATGATTGATGCAAATGTAATACATTGGCTTTATAATGATACAATGATATTTTCAAAATGATGGAGAGTGGGACTATAGGTGCATCAATGTATAGTTTAAATTCAGCTACTCCTGGCTTAGTTTGAAGTTATTTAAATATTTGAGCATTATAACTACTGTAAAATAAACCTTAGTTTGCATTATAAAGTAGTTAGGTTAGGTTGAAAACAATTTAGTTTTTTTTTTAGTTCAGATTATGCTTTAAAGTAACATTACTTATGAATTATTGTGAACTAATATAATCTGTGTTTTGGTTTGACAGGTAAAACAGATGAGCACTCCTTTGCCTCAGGTTGTCAAACAAGTTGTCAAGAAGGAAAGCCCAGCTGTCACACCCTCTGGGTAAGAAGTTTACTCTACATTTATTTATACTACATACATATACTAGTACTTTATACAATATTCTTTTTATAAGTTCGTCTTTTACCAAGTTCAGATATAGATTATTAGGTATTTTCAGTTTCACTTGTTTTTTTACCCAGTTTCTGCTAATCACACATATTACTATCCCTTACTTGTATGCTACTCATGTGAAGTCTTGTAATTGTTGGTTAAATTAAGAAAATATATGACAACTTTGCATTCCACAGATTAATTTCACCAGTAACTATACACTAATATTAATTAAACCTATAGTTAAACCGCCGTAAGCTTGGCCCTCCTGATGGTTTGCGGGACGCGGGGCGGGTGATGCGCTCGGCTATACATGACACGATGTACTAACTCGATATCTTCAGGTTTATTTGTTTGAGATTTAATCTGCACACGATGTAATAAAAATCGAATTTATTTCCATGTATTATAATGTCAGTGTATTGTAAGTTTTTATGATTAATTGTAAAATTTAATACTGTAAAATAATTTTAATAAAATCACATTATGTTCATCATGTAAATTATATTCAGATACAATTTTAAAAATTAAGTAAAATAATAAATATTCTTTATTAGAACTTTAACAGTAGAACCTCTGTAAGCCGAACTTCAAGTTCTTAAATCTTTTTATGACGCAGAGTCGGCAGATTATCCATGTTGCAAAATAATACCGTGTGTAGCAGTCTTAAGAAAAATAACACGTACAGCCACGCTTTCACGTCAGTCACTGCCGGCGGACAGCGACGCACTAGCTAATTGGTTGAATGCATCCCCGCCCCGCGTCCCCCAAACCATCAGGAGGGCCAAGCTTACGGCGGTTTAACTATAGTTTACATTTACGATTCTTTTTATTTGTTTCAATATTTCTGTGGCTTAAAGAAAAATAACGCTTGCAGACGCCTTCAGCGGACAAGTAAAGTTCGTGCGCTTGACCAAGTCAAGGCGTGGTGCGGTGCCGATGATGGAGAACCAGCATCTAAGAAAATTAAGAAGGAAATGTCCAGTGAAGATGAAGACTATTCCGACCCTGATTCCACCAAAGGTACACTAAATGCACTCTTATACAAAAAAAAACTAATAACTTTTTTCTGGTTAGTTTATTTTTTTGCTTTTTGACTTAAAAATATGTAAAAAATATTAATATAATTTAGTGCTTTTCTAGTACCTAACAATTAAAATATTTAAAAACAACTGAAAATGCAAGGCCCAGTACTTATCATCTAATATAAATAAAGTAAATATTTCAGCTGACAAGAAAGTGCTCAATGGACAATCTTCACCAAAGTCCACTCTGGACCCAGAGCTTGTGAAATCACTCGGCCTCGGTGGGAAGGGCATGCCGAATATTAAAGGAGTCATTAAAGTTGACCCTAAGCATATGCCTAACCTTACATCAGGTATTTAACGAACTGTAATCCTGAGGTTGTGAACAGATGTATGTGCTGGCTTTGCTTTACTTTATCATCTTATAATGATGTCTGTTTTGTAACAGGTGTGTATATAATGTCGAAGAGTTCAGGGATTATGAAGATAGACTCGCCTGGCAAATTGGGACCGGGCCTGAACATAGACCAAGAAGTAATTAGGAAACAAATATTAGCTGCTAAACAGGTAAACTTCATAACTAAATAATACTTACTATATGACTTCAATTGAATAGGTATGTGGATAACATAAATGTAATGTTTCAGAAAAAATTAGAAGAATCCAAAAAAACTTCGCCAGTTCGTACGCCAATCGCCTCACAGGTAAAACAGGTACATGTGTGTCTGTAGATGTTCATTTATAATTCCTTGCTTATTTTGCCTCTTTGATATCTGTAGTTAACGTGGAATCATCACTATTTTCTGCACTAATAGAAGTTTCCTTTTCTTTTGCCTGAAACAATTTAGTTAGTGTAATTGGCGAAAGCCCAAGCTACTTCGCCCCTGGTAGTGCTTTAACTGCTTTAGTTTTTAACAAAAAATATATGCCTTAGAATTTAGTAATTTTCTCTCGTTTCTTGCCGTTTCATACTACCACCATATTGTTTGTGAGCAGAACATATCCCATAATTATTTATTATATATTTACAGATTAAAAAAACTTATGGATCAGGAGGACAGCAAGTCACCGAAAAGACCATAATAACTCCTTCTGGACAGAAAATTATTCAACGAACAATACAGCGACCCTCCGGCGCAGGGGAAGGAAAATCACCTGTCACTATTCTCAATAAGAAACTAGCGCAGGTGAGATCAAATCAAATCAAATTTATTTATGCGATATGCCTGTAACGATATTCAATATGTCACTGTGACCAGTCTAGGTGTAAATCTTTAGGTTTACATACACAGGTTTTTAATAAGAATAAGACTATTATTATGGAATGTGTGCATGTGGCAGTCGAGTACGTGCTCGTTATACACTTGTATAATTAGATGATGGTGATGATGTTGTTGTGCGCAGGGCGACAGTCTGCTGCGGCGCGGCGGGGCGGGGCGGGGCCGCGGGCGCGCCGGCTACGCCGTGGCCACGGCGGGAGGGAACATCGTGCGTATCCGAGACAACAAAACTCCTGTCGCTTTTGAATTTGACCAGGTAGGAATCGTTCCAGGATGTTAACGTGAGGTCGATATCAGTACTGATTACAGAGGATCAGTATTGACGTAGAGCTGAGTGAGGGTAGTTCGAGTTCAGACTAAATGCTAGTAGAATATATTTCACCTCGTCACCTTGCTTGTGCATTGACATTTATGTCATAAATCAGATTGTGAGCAGAGATTTGAGATTGGTATTGCAATGCTTTTCGATTCTTAATTTGACTGATGAGTGAAGAGTTCTAGGTATATTATAAGCACACGAATAGGGCACGCAGTTTATCGTCGTAAACTAAATTCTAATTCACGTTTATTTTGCCGACACAAATGCACGTTTTTTGCTTAATGTAACATTAGGTCATTCGATCACTAAAGAATTTTCAATAATCTGTTTGCCCAAACTGTTTTTTTGCACTTCGTATTTGACAAATATAATGCGATATGGCTCAAAAATGCGGTGAGGGAACGATCTGAGGGTGTCTGTGCACAAAGCTAACGCCTAAGTCGCGTACGTACAGTCTGACGCTTCGTCGGACACGTCGGACGGCATCGAGGACCCCTTCCCGCGCGAGCTGGGCCCGCTGCCGCCGGCCAGCCCCGAGCGCGAGCTGACGCTGTGCCCCAGCACGGGGCGGCGCCTGGCGCGCGCCGAGGGCGAGCCCACGCCGCCGCCCACGCCCAGCCCGCCGCCCACGCCAGAGCCCGCGCCCACGCCGCCGCCGCACGCCACCATGCTCATGAAGGTACCTGCCGCCTCCGCCTTGAAGTAAAATGATCATTGTCTTGTCTTTCTCGGTATTTATTTAAATGCACGGTAATTTTAAAACCCATAGAACACGAAAATTATTAGTGCAGTTTTAAAAACTACTGGATCGATTAATGTTTTTTCATACTATGTTGTGATATCGAAGAATCAATGTTAAATTTATACGTTACTATTTATAGGTAGAGATGTCACCGGGCGGCACGACCGGCATGCTGGTACAGGGTGATGGAGCCCAGCCCTCGTTACCGGTGCTCACCGACGATGATGGTGTAAGTAAAATCCTTTTTTTTAATTGCTACTGGTCCTTTAATATCAGTGTTATAGCTATAAAATATTGAACATATGATAATGCCCAGTTGACTTGTCCCCTATTAGTTAAGTGGGACTATTTTATGGCTCATCCTGCCCCCTTGGGTATATAGACGTGAGTGTATGTATGTATGTAATATATATCATGTGAAACACATTTGTAATTACAATAATAAATAAATCACTTACTCTTTTGCTAGACGGAAGTAAAAGTAGAAGCGAGTGCAGTAAAACAGCTGTTGGAAGGGGGGGTGGTCGGTGAGGATGGTGAAGAGGTCGGATTATTACACGCCGGACACACTCCCATTATGATCAGGGGGGAAGATGGAGTGCTTTATCAGGTAAGTTTAGATTAAAACTCATTTGAACGTATCACATTTTAACTTAATTCACTAAAAGAACGCTGGAATGTAAGTTAATTGCAATTTTAGAATATACAATATGTTGAAATCCAAGAAAGTAAAAACTTGCTTATTTGTTTTCTGGATTATGTGGCCTGCTCGACGCCGTTTGTCAACTGGCTGAAGGCAACAGCAATTTGGGTTACTTCTCATTTACTACATTTATTATACTTATTTGTGAAGTATTTTAAGTATGTTCTCCAATAATTTGGTAGATTATTGTATATAGTCATAACGTTCGTTTTCGAAGTTCGTCTATCGTATCATCTACCGTTACAAACTATAAGTACTCTTTTTGTCGTGTAGGTTGCGGGTGAAAATGAAGCCGGTCAGACGTTATTAGTGGCGGCCGAGGGTGTGGAAGGAGCCGTGGAGGGAGTCGAAGGTGCAGTAGAAGGAGAGGGAGACGTCGTCTACGTAACCAGAGAAGATGGACAGGCGAGTTTTTATTAATACCAAAAGCAAAGAAATATTATGTGTGCCTGAAGAAGTCTATTGCAACATTTCAGACACGTGTCTCACATCATTTAATCCCTTCTAGCGTGTCAGTTCAATAGTTGAGTTAGTATGTGTGCGTGCAGGACGTGTTGGCGATCGACCCGTCGCAACTGGCGCAGCTCATGCCGGGCGGCGCGGCCGCGCCCCCGCTGCAGCAGGTGGCCGTGCAGGTGGAGGGCGAGCCGGGGGAGGACGCCACGCAGGTCATCGCGCAGCTGCTGCAGGCCGACCTGCCCTCGCCCGGTCAGTACCCTCGCACACCGACGCTTACATAATAATATGTCCTTTGAAAGCGTTTTTTTGGTATTTTTAAATTTAAAAATGGAGGACGACGACTTAATTCATCCTAGTTCCTAAAATATTTATTAATATTATTTTGCAGGTGGAACAAGGAGAGTAGTGCTTATGCTACCCGATGGAAGTTTAACTATGACAGAACTAGACAAGGAACAATACGAATCCATAACAGAGGCCAGTAAAGCTCAGGAGTAATGCAAATAGAAAAAATAAATGTTGTACCCTTCAGAGACAACACTATGAATAGGCTGAGATAGAATATATTGCCAGAAATGTCCGAATATGTCCTCTGATATTGTTTTCTTTCTGTAATAAGTACATGCTTAAGTAACTGTATGATATAATGTTTGGATGGCAAATGTAAATACAGAGTTGTTAAAATGGGACAAAATTGCCGAATAAATTGGTAATAAATCACCGATCTTAATCTAAGTAAAAACGGTTTTTTTTGTTTATCTAACGGTTGTATTACGTTTTAATGTAAGCTTCGTTTCATTATATCATCACCTAAGGATAATTAACTCTTCAACAATCAATGCACATAGATAAGTAACGTTAGTGCACTGAGTGCTCTATACAGTTATATACAGGTCTTGCGACTGCGATAACAACCCATTCATATTCATGAATGGGTTGTTATCGTAGTCGCAAGAAGTCCGCACATGTATAGCACGACATAGGCGGATTCATGACTGGGTTGTACAATCGGTATTCTTTTTTACAACTGTAGTGAGAGTTGTTAAAACTATAAATCCCAGTATGGATTTAAAACACCCGCTGACTACATTTTTATATTAACCGTAATACTCGCGTTTTCTGCCTTCATCTATGGTAAAGAAAAAAATTAATAATATAGATACCAAAGACTCCAACTGCAAAATCGTTTAACTTAATAACAACTCTTGCTCTAATATGAGCGTGATGTCATCAGAAAAGATGATTTGCAAAATAGAAAGAGAACCAATTTTTATCTAGATATAAAGGTGATTAACACTTTGCGACCTAAATTGCACTAATTTAGGGCGCAAAGAGTTAACCACCTTTCTTTTCTGATGACATCACAGTTGTTTTATTTGAAAATGAAATACCAGTTCTGAGTCTGTATCAATTATCTGCCTAAATACTAAGCAGGCGAATGCGCTATAACACGCTTTCGATGTCGTTATCGTTAAGACATATCAAAGGGCAGGACGCGGCGCGTGACTGATTATTTGACTAATGGCTAGCGCACGTGCAACCCGGCTGGAGCTCGGCATACTTGTAGCTTCGTATTTAAACTGCTGAGTGGACCTGTCCTGCTGCTACTCGAAGTCCTTACACTTTTAATTTTGTCTTATTGCAAAAACGATTATTTTTGTAACATTTTAATAAATCTATATGTATACTTATTCTATTTGATATAAAGCCATTTTTTTGCATATTTTATTCACTCTTAGTGGCCTAGTCTTAGAGTAGGTAGGCCTACTGGACATATTTTTAGACTTCTAGGTTTAGATACCTCAACCCAAAATAAGACTGCGCTGCTCTAATAGTAACATCTTTTCTCAATCATACGATATATGAAGTCAAGCTATATTGCATATTCTTCTAAAAAAAATGTAAAACTTAAAATAACTTACAACATGTCCTCTGGGTTCCTGCTTCGTTGTGTTTTATACCACATTCTTAAAAAAAACAGTTAAGATATATAAACAAAAACCATCATTTTTAATATAAATATTCAAGTAGTAAGTTTATTTAGCTTCAAATAACTAATTATAGAAAAATATACCTTAACACTATTATGGACTACTGATAACATTCATAATTTGAGTAAATCATTTTTGGTTATACTGTTAAATTTAATGTAAACGGTTGGTAGTATTATAACATATATTCGTCGTTATGTTTAAAAAATATATTTGCTATTTGTTCCTATACCAAATATATTTCTTTAGTCTGAAAAGCGGAGTCTGGTAGATGTATTCTAAATCATGAGCATTCACCGTTGATCTTTTACTAGTTTTTAACTAGTATGTAATATTATATTGTAAATAGTATTATATTTATGATTATCAAGGAACATTACTCTAGATTTGGTTTTATTTTATTTAATATTGTCAACAGATAACTAAACTTACCCGTAATGAATAGTGATTTATTTAATAAGCTTTTTATGAGTGTCAGACTCGGTTGCACGAGTACACGTAAAGCGAATGAACTATTTTTAAGAAACCTCTTAATAATTTATAACTTATTTTTTTACGATTTCTTTAAAATTCACACCTGGACAAATTATGCTTCCTATTAGAGATATATGTAATTAAAAGAACCTAGCCGAATTATTTAAGAGAAATAATAAAACTTTGTAGTAATTGTCAATAAAACTTAATATCACATTACATTCCCTGTTAGAAAGAGCGTAGCTGGGCTGGATAGCACATCACCGATGCCGTTTATCAATGTGTAGCCTCGCGCTAGAACATATTAAGTGCAATCTTATATTACTGGATCTCATGTTTCAAACTTCATCCGATTTTCTTATAATTATATAAATGCGAAAGTGGGATAAAAAAAATTCCCAAGACATTTATATTTCAAAACTGATGTTGAAATTAAGCCCTATGAATAATCCTGTCATGCTTAGAAAATACCATTACTTAAATACAGTATAGTAAACCCTTAAAGATTTGTTTAATTTTGTGTATTATAATGATATAAAAATAATAAAATATCATTTAATAAAATCGGTACCTATTATTTACCTGCTTTATAACTTAGATTTAGTTATGCTTAACACGTCATCCCTGAGCACATTCGGAGCTTGAATAGAAAACGGCAGCTCTTTGTCGCATTCAAATGCTTTCCCACAAGTAGAAATCACGCTTAATAGTTTAAATGCAAATTATTTACAAATGACTCATATGTATGAAACGTACACGTGTAATTTATTTTAAAATAGTGACAACTGCAAGAAAAAATGCAAATGTTGATCATATCATAAAGCTAGGAGAGTAGGTCTCAAGAGGCTTCATTGTGGAACTCTAAATGATAATAGGTCACTCATGTAATCCCAACTTACACACTGGGTTCGATTTGAGATATATGAACGTAAAATATCGAGTGCCGTCAATGAATACACCAATAATTTCCAACATACAAAACAGGATCACTATCCCTTACTGGCAGCGTCACCACTCGGTATGGTCCATCCCATTTGGCCAGTAGCTTCGGAGATCTCCCTTTACTGCGAACTGGATTATGTAGCAATCAAATCTGCGGGCAACCGTAGTTCTCTACCGAAGTTTGCGAAAGCTGGTGTTATTGAAGTACTTTCGTGGACTGACTCCAGTATGACAGAAGAGACGGTTGGTGTTTGGTTAAATCGTTCCACCATTCCGTTCGATTGTGGGTGGTAAGAGGTGGTTCTGGTTTTGTGAGCACCGATCACTCGACATATCTCTTAAAATACTTGAGTCTCTAAATTTCTTCCTTGGTCACTGTGAATTTCTAAAGGCACTCCGAAACGACAGAAGACTTTAAGCACTAATTTATCTGCAACTGTTGAAGCCTCTTGGTTGGGAATGGCCAAGACTTCTGGCCACTTGATGAAGTATTACAATCATGAAGTACTTGTTTCCGCCATCACTTGAGGAAATGGCCCCGCTACATCTATTGGCCGCACAACTGGTACATTTGCGACACCAGTCTTCAACACCATCACGACAATGAATCCAGTAGAATCTCTCCCTTATCTTTAACAAGGTCCTCTTCACTCTCATATGGCCTCCTGAATGTCCGTTATGGCAGAGCTGAAGGACAGCCCTTATCTTAGCTTTAGGAACAACCGTTGGAAGATGACAGCTATCTCGAGCGTTTTCCTATTTACGGCACGAGACTCCATTCCTGGATGACTAAGCTATCCCATTGAACCTAATAACTCTTTGTGGTCGAACTCATCGACGCAACATCACTCACGTGAGGCTGAGGAGTATTAGCTTTAATCCACTCGAGAATCGGCTTGATATCTGCATTCTCCTGCTGAGCTCGTTGTAGGCTTTCCTTCCATTCATTGCTAAGGTCCGTCTTTAGCGTCCTTACAAGTACAGCTTCCTTTACTTCTTGCTTGGCACAGTACTTGCAGTCTTCAGGACAAGGTCCTCTTCATAATGCATCTGCGTAACCATGAGATTTTCCACTGATATTCAATCACGAAGTCATATTCCTGTAATAACTCAATCCATCTCGTGACTTGTCCTTCAGGATTTTTGTATTGCAGTAGCCACTTTTGTGCCGCGTGGTCACTTCGGAGATGGAATTAACGCCCAAGCAAATATTTGTTAAAGTGTTGCAGTGTCTTCACTACCGCCAGTAACCCTCTTCTCGTGATGCAGTAATTCCTTTCCAGTTTCGACAAAGATTTACTGAAGTACCCAATATTGTTATTGGGTACTTCAGTAAATCTTTTCAGTAAGCCCAGTATCACTCGCATCTGTGTCAGCTATGAATTCCTGTTCGGTATCTGGATACCCCAAGATACGTGTGTTGCATAGACGTCTTTTAATTTCTTGAAATGCAACGTCACAACTTTCAGCCCAGCAGAAATATCTTTTCTCTTCAGTAAGTTTATCTAGGGGTTTCGCAAAGTTTTTAACACCATGCGGATACTTATGTCCGATAACTACTTGATACTTAAATAGTTTTAAAATTTCTATATAAAAAGTACTTGGTATCGGAAGGAATGTATCGAGTCAATACTTTTATCGTTTTATCCATTGAGATATGATAATAGAGCAAGCTATTACCGAATTGCCCTGTACTCTGCAATGAAGACTGGTGCGAGAGAGAAAACCAGGCGAGCATAAGCAGTGCAGTGCTCTTTATAGATTGGAGAGAGGCTGCCTCTCGGCCGCTTTCTCTCTCGCACCTTTCGGCTTGCTCTATTCTTATTTCTCTATGGTTTTATCCCTATTGGTGCCTACTTGTTTATTATCTATGTTTGTGACGAAAGACTGTAGTAGTCTGCATCTAATCTGTGGTAATGATAATGAATAAAAAACCTGTATCTATTTCAGTATATTACTTATCTATGAAATTACAATGTACTCTGTGATCTATTTATAGCTTTATTTACATCTCGCTCAATCTGTTGCTTTATTATAGCAATTGCTTTTGATTATTTACTCATTCTGTTTTTCTAAATAATTTAATTATATAGCCGAATTTCTTCAGCCCTACGAATGATGTCATGTTGTAATATAAAGGATAGTAGAAAATAACCGTAAGATGCGAAATATTGATTGTAGTTTTTATTTTGATGATTTAAATACTACACGAAAAAAGCTTTTTGAACAAGCTCTGCTTGGTGCTAAATATGGTAGAGTCTTATATATGCTACATGACGAACTGGATGAATTGCCTCAATTATCTCAAGAACTCGATTCATTGAACAAACATTACATGAAAATGGTAACATTTTTATATGTGAAGAGTTTGGATACCCTCATTGAAAGCATTTCCACACTGCCTGATTGGAAAAATATTCCTTCAACAATCATTTTGGACGATTTAAGTGCCTATTGTGATGCAACTAATTTACATAATGCATGTGGATTTGTTGCTTTACTTTTAGATACAGCCCGATGTTGTTCTATGTTACTAAATACTGACTGTAAACTACACATATCTGTGTGCCAGAGTACTGTAGGTGTAGATTATTGTAAAACCTTACAAGAACTATATAAAACAGGATTGGCAAGAATATCTCACTAGAGAGGGCTCACCTGAATTACATTAACAATTTCTATTATAAAATTATTGTTTTATTTTATATGTAAAAAATTCATTATCAATATATTACTGAGTGTCACCACCCTTATTCATCCCATGGGTGTCTTAAGCGCAAAACTCTAAGGAGAGACCTATGTCCAGCAGTGGACTATTATCCTGTGTGGTACTGATTAAATATAATACAAAAATTTATGATAAAAAATGGAAAACATGAAACAGTAATAAGTGAATGGTTCTTTCAATTCAGAAATTGGATATTGTGGTTAAACTTAACTGACGAAACTTTAACACGCACACATACAAGCATGCATTCACACATCTATATACTACACAATCCTACTATACTAGGTATAGCACCTAAATCATTATCATTGATCATTCAGTAGTCTATGTAAGAGTAGTCCTTTAGAGACATATAGTAGTCATCAGGCATTGCTAGTTTTATTGTCTACATGTACCAGTATCATACTTTGTTATAATAAAGTTATTGTCATTAACTAGCCGTTAATAATACTAGTAGTTATTAATGCTGTAGTTGCATTGATAACAAATCAGGAAGAAAACTAATTAGATTAAAGCAATCTTTAAAGCAGGTTGTATTTCATGTCAAAATTTGAGCTCAATCAGTGCAGATGTTTTGGAAGAGTATGTACACAAACTTAAATTTTTTATACATATGATGATATCATGAATTGTTGTCTAACATAATGCAGGGTAGCATGACGGTGCCTGCCAAGTATTGATTAGCCAGTACATTATCTTTACCTACTAAGAGGATGCAATTGGCCTGGTGGGATAGTGTACCTAACAATAGAAGAAAGAAAAAGGGAATGAAATGGTTAAGTCGACTTTTTAAGTCAACTTTCCCTTGTTACCTTTTCTTTTTGTTAAAAATACAAAATAAACACATCAGGATCTCTCAAGATGTTTATTTACATGAGAATAATTTTTACCATAAATACAGGAATGAATAATTTTATGTTAAATATTGTAAACCACAACAAAATCAACAGATCACCTAAATTTTAATATTATATAAAGCAAAAAGAATACAAATATTGAAAAGATGAATAAGTAAAATATATAATAGTTGTGATTTCCTTTGCCCAATTTTAGAACTCTACCCATTGTTTTGCCAAGAAAACCTGAACTTCTATCAACGTCGTCATCAAGTCCACGTATAATTTTCTCTTGATTTCGCACTTCGTTTCCTAGCTCGATGGATATGTCTTTTAGTGAAGTTATTTTTCCACTGAGTTCTTCTGCCATTCGTTCGTTTTCATATTCCAGTGCATCTTCAGTTGCCACTCGAGGCACTGGTTGGTAATGATACCCATCTCGGGCACGACGCATGTTTGTTCGCCCTGCCGTCTTGCTAATATTAATATTTATTTGCAATAACTTCTTATTTTGATGTTAATGGGACTAAAGTTTGAAGTTTTAACAACAATTTAGCGATAATGTTGTCTACAAAATAAATTAAATAATTACATATGAATGTCCCAATACATAAAACACAATGAAACACTCAAATAGGTATTCTATTGAAGCACATTTATATAAATTGCATCTTTCGTATACATTAATCGCATCGCTGTTATTACAGTGTAGGGGATATGTCAACTAGAGTTGTGTAGCTCCTGAGTGAGTGATATAATAGATATATATCATTCACGACGATAAAATGTATCACTCACTCACACTTGCTCCGAATATATCAGTAACTCAGTACTAGCTCACTAGATCACTAGCTCAACGACGCCGATCTTTGTTTCATGAGCGAGTGAGACTAAAGATAAATGTAAATGTACATAATTTTTATAGGATCAAAGTTTAAAATTACTTTAGAATTAAGCCTGACAAGTACAAGGAAAATCAAATTATGTATGATTTATATTGTACAACCTAAAAAAAAGTACAAGAAATAATTTCTTATTTTTAATTATTATATAAAAGGCTGTTAATAATTATGTTATCTTATCAAAATGAATAATTTTGTATATTAAAAAAATAGGTTTAAAATGTAGTTTCAAAAACCGAATTTAGGTTCATATAAAAATAAAGAAAGATCTATAAGGCGAGAGAGGCTTGAAGTGAGTGATATACGAGTATACTGAGCTAAACGATCTAGATGAAGAAATGAATTAATTGAGAGACCAATCAATTGAATCGGATCAATGAGCTAGTGAGCTAAACGAGTTAGTGAGCTAAATGAGCTAGTGAGCTATATGAGTGATATATATCTTTAGAGCGAAATGATATGTATCAATCTTTTCAGCTCAGTGATACATTTTGCGCATCACTAATGTCAACTTGTGACCAGGGTCTGTCAACTTTGTTCTTAGAACAAGATGTAGGTGGGCTTGAAAACAAGAAAGAGACAACAACATTAGAGTAAAAGAGATGAATTATAAAATGTTGCCACCAAAATTACAATTTCGTTTTCTCCAAAACAATGAGCTAAAAAAGAAAGTCACCCTTAAAAATACATTTTGTGATTATTCTGATACCCAAAAAAATTATTTTGCTAAGAAATATAACATATTTAATTGATCAATACACAAAAACAAAAAAAAGATAAGGGGGAAAATGTGTGGCAACTACTGGCAACACGTTTGACGTCACAAGAAAAATGTCTGCCTGCGGTTCCCGCACCATTTTATCTTGTACCTATGTTTATTTGTAATAAATAAACTAGTTGCATTTAATTCTACATACATTGTTACCGTGAGTCGAGTTTGCTCCTCCGTGGCTGTGTTTTGGTGAAATTAAGTGTGTGTTTGTGAGATATAGACTCGGTGTTGAGATAGTGACTTGTTTGATTGTGTGTTTAATTTTCGCAATGAGTTCGCAGAAAGAAAACACTAGAATCTGTTGCATGTGTGGATCTTCACCTTCTAAAGATTCCAGCATCACTTTGCATCGGTTTCCTAAGCCTGGCTCAAAAAATGCTCTGCGGTATGTACCTACCTAAGTACTTTCCATGCTATTCGTTTACATCCTTTAAATCTCTTTCAATCAAAGGAAATACAGAAAGTTTAGATTGTTATTTAGATAAAACTTAATTAAAAATATGATTATTAACCCTTTCCCCCCGGGGTAGTGATTTTTAACAAATTTTCGCTTTTGAACTTTATTTACATAATAAGGTAAGTAAAACGAAACGCACAGATTTTTTTTAGATTTTTATTATACCTAGAAGTACTATTACCAAGACCTAGACTTAAAAGTGCCGTCAGGAACTTCGTGTTATCACAATGTTAGGAACTTGGATAGAAACTACAAAATAATGAGATCCAATATTGACTTAGTAATAATTAAATTATTAGGTTTTTAATTACAGATTAACCTCATGGTATTCAACAAAACAATTTTTCTTCTCATTTACACACAAAAACACGTTGCAATGCGAACATTTACTATGAGGTTTCGACTGAACCTTATTCAAGCTACAAACTTTACACCTTCCCCTGTTCTCTACGAATGTAGACCAATGGATGCCTCTGTTACCCATACATATAGAATAGTCAGATTTGCGCCTTTTTGAAGGGTCGCCATCCGCAGTGTTATCAGTAGAAGTCTTTCTATTCTGACTAGCATTTTTCATTGTCAGTCTCTGGGCATTTGGACATTTATCATTGCAATGCAGATGAGATAAAATAATTTTAATTTCCTTTTTAATTTTAATTTCGTATTTTATTTTTTAATTTTAATTTTTTTTTTAATTTCCAGGTGTGAATTATGGGCAAAGTATTGCTTTCCATACAAAGCCTGGTCTTCACCAAAATTCCAGGATGAACTCCATTCAAAACATAAGATGCTTTGCAGCAAACATTTTGAAAGCACATGCTTTATTGAGAAGAAGTTGTTCAGAACAGCTGTACCTGGTGTTCAATGCCATAAGGTTAGTACAATTAATACTTTAAAAGTGTATTTAAAGCTATTTACATTGCAGAGAAATACAGACTTTATGTTATGTGTAACACATAATATTATGTAGCAGAATGATGTTGTTAACATAAATTTAAGAAAACTTGGGCAATTACAAACATGCAAAATGAGTCATAAATTTAGATGGAATTTGGTATGTAGAAACTTTGATTCTTGAGGAAAAACATGCTACTTTTTACTGCGATAACCGACATTTACGCGGAGGGAGTGCATTTTTACCGCGATGACCGACATTTACGCGGGCGGAGCCGCGGGCAGAAGCTAGTTATAAATATTTCTTATATATATAATTTGCTTACCTCAACTATGACTTATATTAATTTAAGGATTTAAATTAATTTATTTAAAATAAATATGTTAACCTTTCATTTTCAGGACACAACAATTTCTAATCTGCCAGATCAACCTGCCATATTTGAACCTGTTGCCGGTCCATCCAGAATTTATCCTTTAAGAGAACATAATGCAAACATTATCACTCCAACCAGTTGTTCAGGAATGATTGTGTGCGAGTCTTCAAAACAAGAAGGAGATAAGAAAAACAAAATGTTGATAAGGAAACTGAAAAATAGTATGAACAAAGTGTATAGATTACAAAAAACTGTAAAATATTTAAAAAATGAAGCATTTTTAAATGAAATCTCCAACAATGAAACAGTAAAAAAAATCCTCAATAAAAAAATGAGTTCATCATTTGCCCTGTTACTGCAAGGAGAACTGCAGAATTATAAGAGGAAGAAACCTGGACGCAGGTGGAACATGGAAGCTAAAATAATAGCATTGAGGCTCTACAAAAGGTCACCAACATGCTACAAGTTATTGAGGAGAATGATTTGTTTACCAGCACCCAGCACATTAAAATCCCTCTTAAGCAGATTTAGGATGAATGTGGGGATACAGAAAAAAACACTTACAATGTTGAAAAAGATTACAAAACACTTTGGGCCATCTGAACGAGAGTACATATTGTTGTGGGATGAAATGTCATTAAGAAAAAATTTATGGTACAACTCTAAGTCTGATCAAATTGAGGGTTTTCAAGACCATGCCACACAAGGTAGATCTCCACAGGCAGCTTCATATGCGCTTGTATTTATGGTGGTTGGAGTTAGGAAGCCAATTAAACAGCCAGTGGCTTATTACCTATCAAGTGGATTTGTCACAGCTGACAGACTATCTGTTTTGATTAAGGAGGTATGCATTTCTTCTTCATTTTGAAAGATGATCATGCTTATGTTAAATAAGCTAAGTTACTAATCTGCCTTAAAAAAATTTCAGGTTTTAAATTGTTGCTTTAATGCTGGCCTTAATATATGCGCTTCAGTTTGTGACTTGGATGGAGTCAACAAGAAAGCTCTGTGTCTATTAGGAGCTTCTGTAGAGAATCCCTATATAGAAGTGAGCAATCACAAAGTAGTCACGCTATTTGACACACCACACTTGCTGAAGTGCTTCAGAAATCTGTTCATGAAATATGATGTAAAGTTTATGACCAATATAACATCAGACAACAAACAAGGAATTGGTAAGTCATTGTTATTTAGTTTAAAAAAAGTGTTTAATAATATGTATGTAGTTTATACTTAACTAGCTGACCTGCGCATCTTCGTCTGCGTCTTTCAATAGTAATAAATTTTCTCCGTTTTTGAAACATTCTTTATTGGTGCTCCGCTCCTATTGGTCTTAGCGTGATGATATATAGCCTATAGCCTTCCTCGATAAATGGGCTATCTAACACTGAAAGAACTTTTCAAATCGGACCAGTAGTTCCTGAGATTAGCGCGTTCAAACAAACAAACAAACAGACTCTTCAGCTTTATAATATTAGTATAGATAATTTTACTTTTAATAATTACTTTACAGGAATCGCTAAATGGAGCCACATCAGACAATTCTATGAACTGGACAATAATAATCCCAATTTTGTTTATGCACCACTCTTAACTAAAGAACACGTTGACCCCAATACCAAGCAAAAAATGAGGGTAAAACTTGCAGCACAAGTTTTAAGCCACTCAGTTGCAGCAGGAATATTTTCCAAAATAGCTAAAGGTAAGAGACATCTTTAATAGTCATGGTCCAACTCATTTATACACACACATCATAATTATTATGCATGATACTTATGCACATTTAACAACAAGTCTTACAAATTCGTTTCAACAGTATGAAAATGTGGGGTTGTCTCTTTTATAAATGGTGAAACTATCTAATAATTATATTGTCATATTATATTGATTTAATTTGTTTATTGTGAATTTTCAGGAGACATGCCGACTGGAGCAGTGGCAACGGGTAATTTAATTAAAGACATGGATGAACTGTTTGATGGAGTAAACGCGTCGACATCAGATTTAAGAAGAGGAAAAAAAATCCACAGAACAGAACATTTTTTACATTTT